CACAGACACACACAGACATCTCAAAGCACTTCAAACTCACTCCTCGACCCGAAGAAACTGGACTGTGATCAGGTGTGCCGACTGAATCTGGATACTTGAACCACAAAAAAATAAATGAAAATAAAATAAAATGATATAAATGTCAAGTCATGTCACCTTTATTTCTAAAGCACTTTTTACAATACTGATTGAGTCAAAGCAGCTTTACTGTCAAACTGGAAAATTGTTTGTCAATAATGCTAGAAGACAATAGAAAACAGTCAGTTTATCAATGAAGGTCAGTTCAGTAAATGTCCTTGCATTATATAACAAATTATTGAAACAAGTGGCATTGAGTTTAAAGAAATATATTACAAGTAGACTTTTCAGTCAAAACTCTTAGTCAAACTTGATGAAATAGTCAGTTTGATGAAATACATTAGTGGTTCTTCTTCTAGGAAACCTTGAGGATATCTGACTTCAGACAGCCATGAGATCAGCAGAGCACTGATCATTTCATGAGCGACCTCCAGCATCACTGCAGCACAGAAGCCGCTCGCTTTCATTCTTTGTATCTGATGCAACAAGATTCAGACATGCTAAAGTGTGACTTGAGTTTCCAAATACTGTATACGTGTGTGTTTTCATTTCTACAGCAGATTCAGAAGAGCGTGAGATTTCAATCATCTGAACGACAGCAGACACGTGTGACAGTCAGATTCAGCTGCACTTTCCTCACGTTTAGCAGACGTGTCACTCGGTCACTACATCACAGGATGGAGACGTGTGCAGATCGTCACATGACGTGTTTGCCCACACTGAAGCGTTCCAAAGGTCAGAGCAATTACAGCGAGCGTATGACATTTACATAGACGACGAGTCGCTTTAAAACCATCATAAAATACGTGTGAAAGGCTTTTCAATGTGACGGACTAAAGTGTTTCATCAGAGAGACACGTGGGTAATTCAGGCATTCACCGCTCCAGACACGAGCATGCGCGCGCGCGTGTGTGTGTGTGTGTGATGACTGTGAATTAATGCTTTAACACACAACACAACTGTCTGAAAATCACTGCTGCTAATCTGACCGGCTGCTTGACTCTAAACCTGCTTAGTTAAAGCATTACAGACACTACAGTATGACTTTCTGTGAAGCTGCTTTGAATCGAGTGAGTTGTGAACAGGGCTATTACAGTTAATTAAAAGTAAAACAATACAAAACATTTCCATTAATTCAAATAAACTTTCATAAAATAAAACATAAAAACACATGTATTTAATTTAAATTCCTAAGTCATAATTTTAAACATTATTTCAACATAAATTTGACTTTCTGGAGTGTGTTTTCAGATGCTGATTAAATCTGTGGTAGTGTTGATTCATT